GCTCTAGCTTTCACCAGCAGGTGGAGATGGAATAATGTAAGATTTTTAACCCAGTAAACAGGCGAGAAAAAGGCTAATAAAGGCAAAAAAAGTAGCATTCAATTTTAATATCAATGCCTTGGACATTATAAATAATAAAAAGTATGAGTAAAATGAGTAAATGAGGTTTTAGTCATCTATATTTGCCCTTATGTAACGGAAGCCAGCTGGTGATCGCGTAAAGCTCACTCCTGATCCAGGGACAGACGTTGTTCTGCAATCTTATCGGAGCTTGTCTCCCATGCTGGCTCGTTACCTGCTCGGACCGGTGCGGTTATGTGCACATAAACCGTCTTTTGATGATGATGTTACACATTGTCTATCTTTATTGACTCTTTCTTCCATAGACGCTAAGTATTATATTGACAGCTAAAGAATATAAACGTATGAGAAACAGGAGAGAAAATATAATAATAATAATACAAAATAGATAAACATTGACAGGGCTAAGAACAATTACGATCAAAGATTTTCAAAACCAGAGAGATTTTATGAGAATGTCACAAAACAGTTTACTTGGAAATGTTAAACAGAGTTCAGGTATGATTTAAGGTTGGTTATGGATGGGGCGTCTAATTTAAAATAATTTAACATGATAATGCATTAAAGGAGCGTCTTCAGTTATTCACACAGAACCGTCTAATATGGCATAACTATAATGTTTGCGCTGTTTAAACGCAGCTATGTCAGGATTGGGATAGGTTATACATTTTCATCATTTAAATTATTATTATGATTGTTAATATTATTATTGTATGACATTTATTTGGGCTATTGCGCTTAAATAAGTCATCCGTGATTCTAAATTAATATTTCTATTTATCCTTTTTATCACTCTGCCTGTCGTTCTCTTCTTTTTTCTAGTTTTTGGGGTTCTGCCATGGTTAAACGTTTGCAAAATGTCTTAGTTTGTCCAGATTATTGTTTTATTGTTATGTAGCCTATAGGCGAGAAAAAGGTATTAACGCAAAAGTGGCAATGTCGCAGCCAATGATAAGTAATAAAATGAGTCGCTTGTGGTTTGATAATAGGCAGTTATAACTGACTTTAATTTGTTTTCAGTATTAAATGAGAAAACCGTTATTTATAACTTTGCAGCGACCGTTTGTATTTTATGATTAGCAATGTTGATCTTTTTTGCAGTTATTAAACATATAAACTTATTTAAACTGGTTTAAATTTTATATAGTTGTCACTTGAGCTAGTTTCATAAGATTAATGTTTAGAATGCGTGGTTTGACATGCGTGGTTAAGGGGTTCCTGCAATGCAGCTCAATGTTCATCCTCATGGGGTATTACTGAGCTTTAATCGCCATCTACTGGAGAGAATGTATTTGCTCATTTATTCTATTAACTCTTTTCTGCAAGTCTGTTTTATGATTTCACGAAGTCAAACCATTATGTTTTTATTTTATATTTTGAGATGATCATATTTAAATAAACAATTGCTAGGGTAGCTAATAGTTTCTTTTTTCTTGTTTTTTAAAAAAAAATCAGTAGCCTATAAAATCATAATTTTTGCTTGACAAAGTTATTGGTTTAGGATTCTGGATGCATTTTTGCTGTGTTGGAAACTCATTAGCTCACACTAAATCAATTATATTATCAGAAATGACAGATATAAGAAATCCATTAATATTCATCACTCTTTTTACAATTATACAAGCAATTTCTCGCCGACGTCAGCTCCACTTTCGGAAATGGTAAACAGCGAGGTGTTATTCATATAAGCCCAAGCATGACATATGTCATGATTAATATAATAATCGAAACACTTTTGTAGGCTATTCTTATGCTTGGCCAAATGTCATGACTTTCACTTTCATTTTACATTATTATGCACAAGCCCAGATATCATCTGAAACTTTGGAAGAATTCCTATCATATATTGGCAGCCATCCAGCATCTCTTAATCAGTTTGCTGTGGGGCGCTGGCTCTGACCGGCCACCGGAGCTCGCGGCCACTCGTTCGCCTTTGTCGTGAGCAAGCCGCACCACACATGCATAAAAACGTCAATCATTTCATTCATTCATCAATTCATTTATTTTCCTTCTGCTTCGTCTCTATTTTAGAGGAAAAGCGATAAACTAAAGACATTTTGCAAACGTTTAACCGTGGCAGAACCCCCAAAAATTCGAAAAAAAGAAGAGAAAGACGATAGCAAAGTGATAGCTAAAAAGGGTAAATAGAAATATTAATTTAGAATCACAGATGACTTATTTAAGCGCAATAGCCCAAATACATGTCATAAAATAATAATAATAACAATCATAATTTAAATAATGAAATTATAACCTATCCCAATCCAGACATAGCTGCGTTTAAATAATAACTGAAGACGCTCCTTTAATGCATTATCATGTTAAATTATTTTAAATTAGACGCCCCATCCATAACCAACCTTAAATCATACCTGAACTCTGTTTAACATTTCCAAGTAAACTGTTTTGTGACATTCTCATAAAATCTCTCTGGTTTTGAAAATCTTTGATCGTAATTGTTCTTAGCCCTGTCAATGTTTATCTATTTTGTATTATTATTATTATATTTTCTCTCCTGTTTCTCATACGTTTATATTCTTTAGCTGTCAATATAATACTTAGCGTCTATGGAAGAAAGAGTCAATAAAGATAGACAATGTGTAACATCATCATCAAAAGACGGTTTATGTGCACATAACCGCACCGGTCCGAGCAGGTAACGAGCCAGCATGGGAGACAAGCTCCGATAAGATTGCAGAACAACGTCTGTCCCTGGATCAGGAGTGAGCTTTACGCGATCACCAGCTGGCTTCCGTTACATAAGGGCAAATATAGATGACTAAAACCTCATTTACTCATTTTACTCATACTTTTTATTATTTATAATGTCCAAGGCATTGATATTAAAATTGAATGCTACTTTTTTTGCCTTTATTAGCCTTTTTCTCGCCTGTTTACTGGGTTAAAAATCTTACATTATTCCATCTCCACCTGCTGGTGAAAGCTAGAGCAGCTGCGATCTTCACTCTGCAATCTATTGCTTCTCCTGCAGTTCCCGGATGTAATGTTGAAATTTATCAGTCGAATTTGATCCACTGAATTTATGGAAGCGAATATTAGAACTGAAATAAAATGAACTGAAAATGACCTTTTGAATATTTTTAAAGGGTATTAAATATTTTTTAAGTGAAATCTGAAAATTGAATATGAATTATTGAATTTTTAAGTATGAAAACGTGTTTGAAATATTTTTCGTTGAAATATTCACAGATTAAATAAACAGATATGTTAAATTTCAGGACCTAAAAATACAAACCCTGGAATTCAAGTCATTAAAATGCAAGAACTTGTTAATACGGTGTATTATTTTTTTCAGTTTGTGATATTCAACAAGCTTTTTAATTCAAGACTTTAGGCATTGATTTTGTTCCATAATTCAGGCTCTCTTTTTCAGGCTTTGACTAATTTTGATCAACAGAAACCACAAGGGAAATTTTATTAAAATGCCTCAGTCTATAATTTTCTTCATTTTTTTTTTTATCTAAAACGTGTCTTTGAAATCTGTGCCCTCAAGTATCATGAACAAATTTAATGAAAGTGCTTAATTTAAAAACATATTAATGCAAATGAGTCATTTTTGCTCAAATTAAGCGTTAGTCACATGTTTGCCTCTAGGTGGCAGTAGAGGCTAATTTACCGCTTTACTTCTTGAAGGTTTAGTTCTTGTTTTTGAGACTTGAGGAGGTTTTTAGTAATGAAATATGCAAAACGATAAGTTTTTAATATGAAATCATTGATTTGAAACATTTTACGTTCACATGTACAACAGACAGGATTGTTGTCACAAAGGGAAACGCTCCGTAACGTTAACTCTGTCAGGTATGTCAGGATGTTTGTTTTCACTGGCAGTATGTTCGTACTGTTTATTGCTTAATGACACTAATGTAATTAAAGCCCGTCTTAATTTAGAATATCATTAGTGAATGCGCCTCACATTAAAAACTAATTTCATTTTCGCTGTCTTTTGTTTTGGCTGTAAGGTAAACAAGTGAACTTACATGCAAGGGCTAGAAAGTTCATGAATGTGAGGTCAAAGTTAAAAAGACTGGTATATTATTTAACCCTTTAACAGGCATTATAACAACTTGGTTGAAGTTTTATTCATAGGTTATCGTTATTATTTTAATTGCTTATTACTATTTATCAGAGTTATGTCAGTATATTATTTAAAACAAGATGTGGGTCAAAAAAAATTATCAAGTAGTGCACCTTAAAGGGTAGCCATTAATGATCTTACATTCCTTTGAATAAAAGTATTTTTTATCTATTAGGAAAAAAAGAAAATCTTAGTGACAACAAATATAATTAGTGACAACAATATTTAATAACTACTATGACATATTAATTTGTGAATTCGCCTCAATTTAAACTGATTTCATTTTCGCCGTCTTTTGCTTTGGCTGTTAACGGTTAAATAATTGAACTTAAATGCCAGGCGTAGTTCATGAATGTTAGATCAGAATTATAAAGATTTGGTATATTTTTTTAAGCCATTACCGTCATGTTTTTTTCTGCAAACTTTAATTAAGTAAAAGTAAAAGTGAGTAAATTATTAGAGCTCAAATCATTGTGCATTTGTTTACATTAGTAGCCTAAATCTAGCTGATAATCTGTTTTTCCAGTCTTCTACAACAAACAGTTGGTAAGCTTGTCAGGCATTTTTCTGCAAGAACAAATGACTAGATAGACATTTCCCTTATAATATAATATAATATAATATAATATAATATAATATAATATAATATAATATAATATAATATAATATAATTTTACAGTTTATTTGGACCTGTAAGAACCTATAAAGAAATGTTCTTTAAAGTAGTGGTGGAGTAAAATTAAATAGTATTAAACTGTATGATGTGCATAAAAACATGTAATTTATTAAATGTAAGAACTGACATGTGCATCTATTTTTGCAGGTTTCCTGGTCCAGGTCTGAAGAGAGTTCATCCACATGGCTCTGAATCCAAACAAAAAACACCAGAACCCGTCATCAGTCAGATCATCGACAAACTCAAGCACATCAATCAGGTGCGTCACACTGTGATGTGATGAAAGGTGTATCTTTTCCATGGCCATGACATTACTATTTTAGAAATAGTTTCTGCTTCTCCAACTTTGCCATTTCAACAACAGCATACGTATGATGGTGCTGCGATTGTCTCAGGTACTGATTATCAGCTTTATTTGATGCTAAAGGGCTAATGTGTGTTCGATTATCATAATGCTTGATCTTTATAGGCATACTGAAAATGACAACATTTACAACATAAAATACAAAAATAATATTAACTGTGTCCTATTTTCTTTGTTTTGTTATTATTTATAATGATTATTTGTTAAAACTACTTTTATATTGTTTTATTTTATACCAGTGTTTGTTTTTCTACCTAAGATTGCTCAAAATGTATCACCTCTGTTTGAGTGGCTCAATTTTTTTATATTCCTAAAATATTAAAAGCAACTTTATAGTTTTGAGTATAGAATTTGTTACATTAAATTAAATAAAAAAATAATAATACTATAAAACAAGATTATACATTGATTTAAAGTATTTGGATGATAATTAGTTTCTATTATATTATGTGATCAAAATTTTGTACTAAAAATAAAGGATTGCACAAATGATCATCTCCATAATAGGATGTGCCATATCATAAAACTTATTTTTTTATGGCAAGCATTTGTGTGTTGCATGAATAGGTTGTTTCAAATTAGATCAATCAGATAGGGTTACTAACTTTATAGTACCTATTTCCTTTAAAAAAAAAAGATATTAAAAACGCTTCTCTAGAGAAATCACAATAAATATACTTTTCACATATTTTACGAGTATTGTTTAGCCCTACTAAAAATACTACTACATTTATTCATTAATTTACATATTATTATAATATTATTTACTCATTAATTAATAAGATGTTTGTTAATGTTTGGTTTTGGCTTTTTCAGAGATAATTATATTGATATCCCGACCGTGACAGAAAAATACTGGAAATTCTCTGTAGACTGATGGCATTTCATGCTGTTCAGCCTTATCATCCTAAAATGTGAGCAAAATCCCCTGTTTTGTCATCACTTTAGACATTACGCTAGATAAACATTCAAATACTAGCTCTAAAGTGGCATTGGTGAAGTAACAATGATTTCTGCTGTTCTGACATTAGCTGCTGATGTGAATGAATGGCGGAAGAAAGTAGTTTGTCATACAATTGGGTTTTTAGACTCTGCATGTTTGATTTTCTTTTTTATATACACGATATTGCCGTCAAACTTGTATAAACACAATATCAAACCCATAGCAGTGTGATATGACTGTATATCATCACTAGTGGGACACTAAGGCACTAATTTGTATTTATTTGTTTATTTTGATCTATTTTTATTAGATTATTTTATTTATATTGAATCTAATTTGTCATATTTTTGTACTTTCTATTTCCTGTTTTGCTTTTGTGAGATTTTATTCTCATTTTATTGTTCTACTCTATTTTGTCTGTAAAAAAACATTAAAGTCCAGAGTAATATGATTAAATTAAATCACATTATCAACCATTTTGTTAAAATGAACACACTGGGTGTTGATTGATTTTATATAATTTTGTCTTTTACAATTCACAAACTTTTTTTTTTTACCAGTAAACTTCTGCAAATAATCCTCCTCTGCATTGGTGTCAGTCATTGCACAGACATGCAGTCATACATAAACTCATCACCTCGGTTTTAACTCGGTCACAACAGTCTGGCTGTCATCACACACACAGATGCACACGTCTGCGTGCTGCTTTATGACACACAGCCTGGTAGATTATCAGCATGTGTGATACGGGCTGCCGGTATCTGTGCATTAATGCAGACAAAGCACAGGCTTTCATTCACTTTCTTCCTTCCTGACTTTAAAAAACAACAGCTGCGTGTCATATCACCTAGTGTGTGTGTGTGTGTGTGTGTGTGTGTGTGTGTGTGTGTGTGTGTGTCAGTGTCAGGGTGTGTCTGCTTATATTTCATGTTCAGTTTGTTCCCTATTGTGAGTGCGATCCTGCATTGATATTTGACTCTTTAGGGTTTTCAGTCTGTATATTCTTGTATTCCTGAGAGAGACGCATCTGGCTCATCCACAGGAAGTTCAGCGGGCGCTTCCTCTGTACCTGGAGGATGTGTGTTTTTGGCTCGGCTTGAAGATATGTTGCAACGCAGTCTGGCTGTGAATGACTATAGGCTATGGTTAGATCGATCCAAGTGTGCGTGTTATTGAAACTTTTAGTCTTTTTCCCCCTTTTACATTTGTGTTATATTGCAGGGAGTCATTTAGCTGACACGTTTATCCAGAGTGATTTACAACTAAGGAATATGACAAGTAACTACTGGATTGTCATTATATAAAGGCAATGGAAGGGGTCAGAATGCAGTCAAGTGCTTTTGAAATAAATAAATGGTATGAATAATAAATTAATATGAGACGACACGGTGGCGCAGTAGGTAATGCTGCCACCTCACAGCTGGTTCGAGCCTTAGCTGGGTCAGTTGGCGTTTCTGTGTGGAGTTTGCATGCTCTCCCCACGTTTATTTGTTTATTTTTATCTATTTTTATCTGATTACTTTATTTACATTTGAGAAAATGGACAAGTGTATGAGAAATTGGACTTTTCCTTCTGTTAAACAGGAGTTGGGGAAAAATATATAGGAGGGCTAATAATTAAGACTTCAATTGTATGGCTGAAATATATATACGGCTCCTGTATATTTCCCCCAATTTCTGTTCAACTGAAGGAAGAGTTTTTTAACACATTTCTGAACATAATATTTTTAATAGGGATGCCCTGATCAGGTTTTTCCAGGGTGTTCCTTATTTTTTATTTAATTTACCTTATTTTATCATTGAACAACTTTGTTAGCAAAAACAGAGCACTTCTGTGAGGTAGCTTTAACAGTCAATTAATAAATAACATAATGCTTCACTTTTGGACTTTAGTACAACAGTTATTAAAAAAATAATAATCATAATCTTCCAATAAATCTTCTAATAAATAATAAAAACAAATAGCACTTCAACCAAAATACCCGGAAGGCATGTAAACAAAAATTAAATAAATAAAAGTGCCTCAGTGTTTGCAAAGCCAGTAATATGCTTTTAGGAACTGCACTCCTAACTCTGTTGTTACTGTTGTCACAGTATCACGTTTTACGGAATGAAAGGTCTGTTTTTCTTAATGAAAACTAACAACTCTACTTTGTCAGGTTTAAGCCTGTTTCTGTTCTCATCAAGGACACTTGCAACGCCATTAAAAGTTCTCATCAACTTTATAATACCTCCAGACCTGAGAAATACTTGTGTTTTCTGCTTCAAGCTGCTTCCATGTTTAACCATTTAACCAATAGCATCTATGCAACAAAGTGACTTCATGCTACACGCATTGCTGTTTCTGTGTGAAGTCAAGAAAGAGGTCTAACTCTGTGCCACCGCATACCTATAGTTGTGGTACAAATTATGAGAATTAACAGGGTTATTCAAAAAGAATACCACAACTTTGAAAATCTGTATTTAATCAAAGAAACATGATGGAACCTTGGATAATCAATCAATGTGAAGAGTACTTAACAAAGTTTTATATATATATATATATATATATATATATATATATATATATATATATATATATATATAGCTAATTTCTAATAATCTCTTTTGCTAATTTCTAATAATCTCTTTTGCTAATTTCTAATAATCTCTTTTATCTTTGCCATTATGACAGTACATAATATTTTAATAGATATTTTTCAAGACTCTAGTGTTTAGCTTAAAGTGCAATTTAAAGGCTTAACTGGGTTAATTAGGCAAGTTAGTGTAATTAGGGAAGTCAAAAAATAATGATTTGTTCTATAGACAATTAAAAAACATATTGCTTAAAATCTAATAATATTGAATGTTTTATTATTATTATTATTATTAGAAACTTATTTTATTCTAGCCAAAATTAAACAAATAGGACTTACTCCAGAAAAAAAAATATTATTATAAAAATATAAATATTATAAATATTATATTATTATATTGCAACAACATGCAAATGAAAAGCCATCAGCCTTTCAATTTCTTCATAGGATTGGTGGGTTACATTAGATGAACAGCAGATTGATTTTTTTTAGCACCAGGTTAAACTTTCTGACACCTTTATGCCAATCAAATACATTCAAAAATGAATTATTTAAGAACAAGAATAGACTTGTGCTGAAAACATTTTGGCCAACAGTCTCTTTAGGTGAGGTTAATATTAAAATAAACTAAAAGTAAATGACTATAAAATGATATGGGTGTTAGACTGTTGCACTTTTTTGTGTTGTCATTATGCTTATGTTTATATAGGCCTATTGTTGTGTATGCAATGTTTGTATATTTATAACCACCTCTGAGGAATTCGGGGGTTGCAAGTCACTGGCATTGTTATTTTAGGGGTCGTGAGCTGAAAGGTTTGGGAACTCCTGTTTTAGACATCATTTGGGAAATATTTGTAAAAGAAAAAAATCTCACAGGAGGGCTAATGATTTTGACCTCAACTGTATATTAATTCTATATATAGTACTACATCCTGTGTGTGCACATCTTGCATTAAGGCAGTATATGTATGCATGTTGTAAAAATGTGTGTGTGACAGAGAGCCTCAGCTCGGCCTCACACTCAATGGCCTGATCTGAGCGGATTAGCGCAGTGCTCTTGTTTAAACAGACCTCAGAGACATCAGAGCGGCTCGGGTGAGTTGTGGGTCTCGTCTGCCCTCAGGCTGTGGAGGAGGACACTGGGGTCAAACCTACCATGGGACGGCCCATCATTTTCTCAGTTACTCTGCAAATAGAGCGTCTCTTCTCTTCTCTTCTCTTCTCTTCTCTTCTCTTCTCTTCTCTTCTCTTCTCTTCTCTTCTCTTCTCTTCTCTTCTCTTCTCTTCTCTTCTTGTCTTTTCTCTTCTTTTCTTTTCTTTTCTTTTCTTTTCTTCTCTTCACTTCTCTGCTCTTGTCTTCAATTCTTTATTTTTTC